GTTTTGCAGGGTACATCAGTCTGGTTTGAAGTTTGTTTTCCTTTAGAACTTGAAATAATTCACTCTAAGCTTTTTTTGACATGAGGGAGATGCACTCCCCTACCCTGCTGGTGTCTCCATGCAGGTCTCTGAGGCCACCAGCAGTCGCCCTGTGTGAGGCCTACCTCAGGAGAAGGCGCCGCTGGCTACCTCCTCTGTTGAAGTTCCTTTCTTCACTGTCCCAGTGGGCTTTAGTTCACACTTCAGGTCTTTCCTGGGCTCGGGGGACCCACTTCCTTCTTGTCGTCCTCAGTTATTATATTCCAGCATCTGGACGCGATTCTCAGAGAGGCTCTTTCTCTGCTGCGTACTACTCTGCCATGTTGGTGCCTCCCTGTGTTATCTTTTGGATAAGAGCAAGTCATTACTTTTTAATGCTGATGTAAGTAAGCTGAAATCTTTGGTGGTGAATTAATGGTGACATTAACTGGTTAAGAAGAAAAACTGCAATAACTGAAAAAATAGTGGACTCCAGTGGACGTTAAATATCTACATTTTTGTTAGGATCAAATCTGAACCGTTACATGTTTTTACTGGGGGAAAATAGTCATCTTAACTGGGGGGAATTTTAATGAACTGAATTTGTGATTTATAGGGACAGATTTCACAAACAACAAAGAGTATGGCCCTGGTGTTCCAGGGAGAGAGCACTCAGCCCACCTAGACCCTTCGGTGTCAGCTGGAGCAGCCAGTGCCACCACAGTGCCCTCTGCCGTCTCCATGACGTCTGCTGGGGCTGCGTCCGCGCCCTCTGCCAGCGCTCATGGCCCTGCTTCTATGCTTGGCCTCAGCTCTGCATCCGCTGTGGCATCTGAAGAGGTGGTGAGTAGGGCTGGCACAGCTCTTGCTGTGCTTGGAAGGGACCAGGCACTGGTTTATAAGTGGGAGGTTTGGCTATGGTGCTGTGTTTTGATTGTGTGCATCTCTGGTATGGGGACCAGACCCAGGGCCACATGCAAGCCAGGCAGGTGCCTTTATGCTGAGCTGTCTCAACCCGTTTTGTTTTTGTTTTTGTTTTTTTCTGGTACCGGGATTGAACTAAGGACCTTGCACTTGCCAAGCAGGCACTTATGCCACTGAGCTATCTCTCTGGTCCCCTATTAGATATTTTTAATTCAGGATAGTTTTCTGTGGAGAAAAATATTTGTGTGGTACTTAGGCAAACCCACAGAAGGCACAAAGTGGTTAAAACATTAATTGGTAATGAGAAACAGTAACCCAAAGTGCTATTGTAGTAGTGATAGTCAAAATAAAAATAAAGAACTTTTCACTAACATATTTCAAAATCCTAGAAAAACAGACTTGGGTAAGAGTTGAGGATAGACTTCTTCTCAGGTCAAAGCACATTAGTTGGTGTTTTCAAGGACTGAGGAGGCTAAGATATCTCTAACTGCATGCTTGCTGTTCAGCTCGCCGCTTTCCCCCTCCCTGGACCCACGTACACAGTGACCCTGCTCTGGTGACTCCATCTGGGCCAGGTTGTAACTTGTCGTTCATAACTGCGTGAAAGCACAAGGATCTTCCTAGAGTCACCCAGCCTCTATTAGAGGCGGGCCTGGGGCAGGGTACTAAATGGGACAGCGTACGTGTGCATGTGCATGTATGCATGTGTACATGTGTACATGTGTACGTGTATGTGTGTGTGTGTGTGTGTGTGTGTGTGTGTATGTATGTGTGAAAACTGGCTAGAAGGGGAATGCACCAAGCTTTAAACCAAGCACATCCTGCCTGGACTCTGGGCTCCTGCTAGTGACAAGTATTTTTCAGCATTTCTCAGGAGGGGAAGAAACAGACCAGACAGGCTTATCGGGCTCACTTCTGTGGGCTCTCTACAAAGGACTCTGTGGCCTTTGTCCCTGCTCTGGCACAGCTGTGGCACAAGGCACACTGTCATAAAGCTCCTGTGGTGCTTCTCCCAACTCCTGATCACTGACATCAGAGGAAAGCTGGTAGCAGAAGCCATGCTAGGTCTGAAGCTCCGGGGCTCTGGGCAGCTTCTGCAGCCAAGATAACTGCTCGTCCACAGGCGGCTAGCTGGCTCCAGGCTCTGCCCTTTGAGAGCTGCTATCTTTGGCAAAAAATACATTGAGACCTGCTGTTTATCACGATCGTATGTGTGAAAACCATATGTATGTAGCACATGGCCATGAAGAGAAATTTGAATGTGTGGAGAAGTTTTGATTTCGAAACAAGATGCTAAAATTCAGCCCTAACACATGTTCAGTTGTGTTTATTTCCCGTGATTACATATTTTGAAGTGTTACACTATAGAGCTGATCTCAGCATTTATCTAAATTTCTGGTTTGTCATTCATGTCACATATGCAGCTGATACACACAGCTTAATTTTTGTTAGAATTTCCTTCTTAGAATGTAACTACAGCAATACATTTGCATCTGTACGTAAACCTGAATATGCATAAGGGAAAAAGAATGAGTGCTAGCTCACCACCCTTTTTATTGCCACCTTTTGACCACCTGAAATAATTTTGAAGTCTCCAAAGCATGAAAATCACATCAGCGATGGGCATCATGGTGCACACCTATAATCCCAGGATGTGGGAGGCTGTGGCAGGAAGATTGCAGTGTTTGAAGTCAGCCTGGGCTACCTAGTGAGTTCAAGGCCCGCCTACACTACACAGCAAGACCCTGTCAAAAAAAGAGAAAAAAAAGAAAAAAAAAAAAATATCCATTCTCCATCCACCCACCTTCCCACACACTACCTACCCCTTTAAAAACAGATGCACATTCAATTTTCTCCATGTGAGTACAGCCTCGAGTCATAAAGGAGAATCACAAGTAAGTCTCTCTGTAAGTGTAATGCTGGTTCTCTGTCTTTCTT